ACTTTCAGAATACGTTTTATTTCGAAAGTTTTTTTCGGATATAAATATAGATTTCGATATTCATCTATACTATAAAATGGCAAGATCAATAATGAAGATGAGACAGATAATTAATTGAGGATAAAAGCGAAGAGTAAATTAACGTGGAACAAGAATTTGAATGAATTTAATAAATCTCAAAAAAAAAATCTGTTGGTACTTCGTCGATCATATGTATCAAGTTTATTTTGTTATCATACGATTATTCTTATAACATCTGTTGAATTTATTCATTTTTTAAATAAACGCTACTGATGTAATCTATATCAAACAACTATACAAATCATACTGCAACGTCCTAAATTGTTTGTTTTTTTCGTACCGAAACTGTACCTAAACTTTCAGATGGTTTGAGTTTTAAGTTAGGTGTATGTCTAATCAAAAGATATGCACTTAAAGAAATAGTTTGCTAAATTTGTTGATTATGTTTCTTAGACATTTACGTTTAGTTATTGAAGGCAAAAGAAAATTTTCAGTAATTTTAGTTTATCTAATGTGAGTTTTTAGTATAACTCTTCTTATAACTTATCATAAAATAGTATTACCCATATAATAATAAGTATATTAATAAAATACATACTTCTTGTCGAATGTTAACTTCACCAACATGTTCAGCTAATTTTTTAGCTTCTAAATTCAATTTTAGTTTTTTTTAATTTAAAATTGAAAAACATTTTATGAACATAACTAACCATCAATTTTTGGTACTGGTTCTGAACCTTTTTTTGCATTAGCTGGTAAATCACTTGATTTACTTGATGTTGGAGGTGCTTGACCAATTGGAGAAAAATTTATCCAAAACCACATTGGAAATATAAAAATAGCACTAGATACAATCTAATCAATAAAGAATAAATATTCATATGATATTAAACAAAAATATTTTATTCACTTTAATAGAATCAGGACATTTAAATAATCCCCATGAAAGTTCACGTGGTGTAATTTCTCCATAAAATTGTCTTGTAACCCATTTTTGACAAGCAGCATGTGCTACAAATGGTTTATTGTCTGCATTATAAGCTAATTCAATAGTTGCCATATGACCCCAATCCTTGATTAAACAAAAATATTTTTTTTTTTTCTTATTTTTCAAAAACATTTTTACCGGATGTTTTTCATCAAGCATTTCAAATGTTCTTGTACTATCTTCATTGAATGCTTTATCAAGAACACCTAAACCACAATCGGAAAAGTCTCTAAAAATAAATTTGAAAAAGTTGCAATTAAGACAACAAATTAACGAAAAGTTTTTTTTTTTCTTCAAAATTTACTTTGCTTGTTTTTCTATTAAATTTTTTTGATAAGCTTCATGACAATATGGTGCTAATTGTATATACATCATATAGCAAAGTAATGCCAATGGAATTGGTTCAAATGAACGTTTCCAAAGAACTTTTGCTAGTTGATGTCGATTCATTAATACAGCATAAATAATTAGATGTCGAAGAGCCTATTTTAAACAAAAAACAAAAAATAACACAAAATTCTTTAAAAGTACTAAACAAAAAAAACAAGAAGCAAGATAATTTTACTTTTTTTTCTGCTCGTATTCTTTGTTTTTGAACACCTTTTTCTGATTTATCCCCAAAATAAATTCCCATTGCATTACAATCCATTTCATGTTTACTAAAAAAATGACTAATATCTGTTAAACGTTTAACAATTTTATTAAGATCCTTTTCAACAAAATCTTTTGATACGTATTCTTCATCCTATTTAATAAAAAAAAAAAAAAACGTAAATATAAACAAACAAGAACTTTTTCTTGTACTTACTCCTGTCTGACCAAGAATTCCTTCAATTGATGTTGTTGTAAAAAATTCTTTATCTTTAGCTTTATTAAATAAATCAATTAATTTATCTGCTTTTAAATAACGATGTAAGACAAAATCTCGATCAAGAAATAAATCAACAAAAGCTTCAAGTTTTTTTCCAAGTATAGCTTGATCAAATAATTCTGGTTGAATAGAATATTTTATATTATCATCACGTTGAAAAATTTCTGATAAAGCTAAATCTGGTGCATTCCAATCAAGTGTTAATGTAAGATTTCGTTTTAATTGAGCATTTATTTTACTACCAGTTATCATTTTTTGTGCTAAATATAAAAACTAAAAAAATATGAAGAGAATAAATATATATATGTTTATACATTGTAAAAGTGCTAAAAGAATAAATTTATGATAATCATTTAATGATGCTGTTGCACTATTAATATCAATAAATGTTAATAATTTTCTATTTTCTTGTTCTTTTTTTTTAACAATTGCAACAATTGATAAAATAAAATCACGAATTTCATTTCGTTTAACATTATTATTTCTTAATAAAGGATAATCATCAAGTATACGTCGAGTTAATTCAACTTTAAAATGACTATCTTCATATTCTTTTTCAATTCTAAATAAGATTTAAAATAAAATTTTTGTTTTTTATGAAAAATAATCTTCTATTTATTTTTTTGTTTCTTTCTTACTTAGCACAAATTTCATCATAAGCAAATGCAATTATATCAGTAGCTGATCCAGTTCCTTTAAAAATTACGATAGGAACTTCATTTTGAATTTTTCGATATACACGTTCAATAGTTCCTGGTGAACCACGAGCTAATGTACATACCATTGGAAAACCATCGTCACCCCATGGATTAGATGTTACTGCTGTAGTATCTAAATGAAATCGGTTTTTTTTTCCTATGAAAAATTTTATTTATACCAGTTGTTTTTGTTGTTGTTGGCGGTGGTGGTGGTGATGGTGATTCAACGGGAGATGCAGTTTGTTCTTGTGATTTGTCTTGACGTAAAAAATTTTCGAAACGATCACGAAATTTATTTGTAACACTATCAGGCGCATCAGTTAGTTTTTCTAATTTTTTTCCACCAATATCAATTGTAATATTTTTTTTTGTTAAATTATTAATTGAACTAGACTTAATTGGTTCTTCACGAATTATAATAAAATGTGTATGATCACTGTTTAATGATATTTGATCACGTTTACGCATTGGTACTCTTATTTCCTATTAAAAATTAAATTAAATTAAAATAGAATGACTAAAATAAAATTTTCTTTAACTTTTTTTGGTTTCTCTTGTGCTGCTTTGAAATCAATAAAATCTTTAATTTCATCATCACAAACAATTCCAATTAAAGTTAATTTTTTACGTTTTTTTGGATCACGACCCATCTGTATTGCCCATGCATCATCAGCTCGTCTTAATGTCTATGTTTGAATAAAACAAAAAAAAAAATAAATAAATTTCTTAAATTTTTTTCAAAAAAAAATTTCATACAATTTCATCTCGAAAAGCAGATCCAAATATTTGTGGAAGACCAAGATCAAAACCATTTGTTATAAACCATATTTCAGAAGCATTTGCAGCCTAAATTAATCAATATTTTTAAATTGTATTTTGTTCGAAATATATATAATTGTTTTCAAAAATAAGAAAAAAAAAGCTTTATGTTTTATGAAACAGTTCTAGACTTTATTTTTTCAATAATTGTTTATTGTTAAGTAGACAAAGAAATGACAATCTATTGCTTGAGAGATAAAATCATGCAGATAGTTTAATATATGTATATGAATGATTCACTTACACTTCTTATGCCAGTTTTTGATGCTTCAATTGTTTTAAGATTTTTAAATATTTTATAACGTGATATTGCACTAAGAATAGGTATAACTAAATTTGGTGCTTTTAATTTCCATTCATTAGCCATAAATTGACTTAGAATAGTTAAGTCAATATTACCATCAACATAAAGAAATGATCGACCCTAGAAAAATTCAATTCGATTAAATAACAAAAATATATTTTACAAAAAAAAAAATATTCTTAATAAGAAAATGTTCACTTTATATATATTGTATCTATAAATAAAATTTACCTCATTAGAATAATCACCAAGAGAATCTTCAAATTTAAATGTTCCCCAAATACCTCCATATTCTTGTTCAATAATATTATAAAATTCATCTTTATTTGTTGTTAATGATGAATCAGGAGGTGTTTTAAGTGATAATAATTCTTTCTCACCACGAGTATTTGCATTATTTACCGTATCTTGCGTCGTTGACGCAAGCATCTAGAAGAAAAAATATTTTTATTGGGATACTAGCAAATATAATATAAATAAATATGATAATTATACCGAATAGTCGGTTATTTTAGTAAATCTAGTTCGAGTATGACAATCGATGATTTAAATGAATAACCAATGAAAAGAATAACTAATGTCTTTTTCTTTTTCGTTCTTTTTTTATTATAGCAGATTTGCGTCAATGATTTTTGTTGTCCATATGTACATATACATATATACGTGTATTTCACAATGACAAACCAGTCTCCTTTGTATTTATGGCTTGTTCTTTCTGTTTTTTTTTTGCTTTGCTTCAATCATCGATTACCTTTCTATCTGTATATCTAATGAAATAGTATTTGTGTGATATAAGACGAAAAAAAAAGAGAGAAACACAGAAAAGAGCATAAAAGATATGCATAACAACACTGATAGGTAATTGTGTTTTTTTTTTGAATTAACGAAAATAGTAGATAAAACAAATCTATAAATCACATTTTTTTTTCTCTTATTTCATTATTTTATTTATAGCGAATCATTGTATTTAATTATTATCTATTCTGCCTTTCGTTTCTTTTTGTATTGGAAAACTGGAACTTTGACTCACAGAATTTTCGGGCCAAGTTAAAAATCCTGACGAAATTTGGACCAGCATTTCGATGATCTCATTGGTTTCCTCTTCTCTTCGAAAGCAATCTAGTTACTAGATATCGTAATACTGAGAAGGAAATGATAATGCTCAACAAGATGGCACCATGATATCGTTGTGATGGAGATATGAGCATCGCATATAGATATGGATGCGGGTTTCAGATGTACGTTATGGGTATTTTTTTTTTTGTGAGGATATTCAGTTCAACCATATACCCATCTTCATATCATGTTGCCGAGAATTATATTGTCCTGCTCAGAACTACAATATCTAGTAACTAATAAATTTAACTCTGATACAAAAGTACAATGAGAACTTAGTATTGATCTCAAAAGAAGTGTTAATGGAATGATGAGCATTTTGGTTTTTTTTTATAGCGCTTAGAACAGTTCATTTTATCTAACATTGTTTTGATTAAAACATGACTGTAAATGTCAATCACAAAATGGGCTTTGTCAATTTTTTTTTCGTGTCACCTTGTATCGTCATTATAAATATCACATATGCAACATTTTTTTCTTTTTTATATGTCCTTGCAAAAAAGAATGCACCAATACTAATAATACAGTAATGTCTATGAAATCGTCTAATAGTATATTTTTTCGCTGTACCAGAAACAAACTACTTTCGAAAAATATACCAACTTATAAATCTTTTTCAACAAAAAGAAGTCAAGCAAATGACTATAGAGCAATGATAACGATATCTATTGAAGTAAATATAGAAGAAAAAAAAAGAATACGTTGCATATAGGTTTCTCACACTAGAAAAATGCTAAATATTAATATTCTTATTTGATATGACGCTTTTCAAAAGGATTATTTATGGAATACATCTTGAAGAAAAAAATATTGCATTAAGCGTGATCAATAATGGAATTATACTCTAGTGATTGTATTGAATGCAGAATATACAAACGAATACTTTGCTGTTAGTATATCACCAAAAATTTTGGACTTTCTAATGCCTTAGTGTACATTTCGTTCGAGTATTCTGCTGAAAACTATCACAATGACATGGGTACTGGAACTCAATGTATGTATGAGAATATGCACTTAATACATGATCAAGATTTTTAGGTAATTCAGCATAATGTCTTTATTTGTTTTGTCATCTGTGTTTGATAATTTTCATAGTTTTTGTTTTCTATGATTTTTATAAAAATCTATATGCGCAATCATGGCAAGCAAAATTTTTTTATTCTAGTTTACTGATATGCGACATGGAAGAAAAAAAAATCTACAAGCAACGAATTGTTTGTACAAGACATAAGCCGAAATGAATAAGAAAATCATATTTCAAAGAATCAAAAAAAAACAAAAGATAACAATGATGGCAGTATGTCCTCTATTGCAAAAGAGACTGATCTCGAAAAACTGTTTGTCTTATTTGGCTTGATGCTTCAGTAAATACATCAACTGAAAATATCATTACTCAACGAAAATTTCGTTCAATTATTCATTATTTTAAAACATTTTCACATGTTCAAGATTGTGAACAATATATACGACAAAAAACAAAAGATGATCGAATATTTTTAATTGTCAATGGACGATTTGGTCAAGAAATAGTACCACGTATTCATCAATTTCGACAAATTTTTTCTATTTATGTTTATTATCAAGACAAGGAAAAAAATGAAGAATGGGCTAAAAAATTTATTAAGGTAATTTGTAATATACATATGAATTGTTATAAAACGAAGAAAAGAAAAAGAAACATTTATTATTCAAGAAAGTTTAGTTTTGATACGAGTACCTTTTTACTTGTATCAATAGTGAATAAACATTCGTATTTAATTCAAGTATGACAAATGATGGTAACTTATGTAATCTGTTTACATGCTTTTAAAAAATTCACTTAAATATATTACGAATATGCTTTCCTTTTGAATTCAAATGCAAAAAAACAATCATATCTAAACTTATGTACCTTTTTTTTTCTCAGAACATAGTTTTCAATTTGAAAAATTGAATTTTAAAGTTTATTGCAAAATCTCTGATTTCGATGGCATAGTTCTTCTCGTTCAATTCAGGATATAAAGAGATTTAATGTCGTGAAATATTACTGTCAATATTTTCTAGACGTTATGATCCAAGATGAAAGAAGGAAGTCCACCATGACCAGATCTTCCCTAAATTTTTATTTTACTTTCTGTCAGAGTTTTGATATTAATGAAGTTAAAGGAATTCTTCTGAATATCATAAATGGACAATAAATAAATCGAAAGTTCGCTTCAGTTTGATATATCAAACTGAAAATTTCATACTTATTTATATTTTATTAGGTGAGTGGTGTATTTAACAAATTAGAGATACTTATTAATCGAGTTCAATCAGATTATATAAAACGAATTCAATATAAAGTTGATGATTCATTTCCATTAAATATATGTAAAAAAAATAATTTATCAAATAATTTAATTCATGATGAATTTTTTCATTCACAATTACTTGTTGATTATCTTGTTCATATGAAAACACTCTATCAAATGATATAACTGAATTTATTAATATATGTTTAAAATGAATAATTAAAAACCCTCAATTTATAAAGTGTTAGATTCTTCAAGTACTCCTCTATTGGTCAAGATAGACGATTTCAGATTAGAAAATAGAGAATAGATCTAAATAAAACTGAAGCTTCACAAACTGATTTTCATTAATCTTGTTCTCTTATTATTTGTTTTAGTTAAATTATCTTTAAATTTATGTAAAAAAAAAAACATGAATATTTTGAAAACTTCGTATCTTGAAAATACTTCCTTAAGTAGTTCTGAAACTTTGTCTACATGATAATCTGATTGATGTCGTTATATGGACAAAGTTTTAGATCAAAACTCAAAAGTATGATTTCATTTGAAAACTATGGCCTTAAATAAAAAATCTACGAAATATTGAAAAGTGTATAGCATTAAAGACCCATTAGATTGAATAACCCTAAGGTATTTATTTATCCACTAGACTCTATGATTCAATATAATCTCAGTTTGAAAGCAATTCATCATCTATGGGCATTTCCTCATTAATCAAGACTTCAAAAAGTTTGAAAAATGTTTATTTATATATTTATCTGTATATCTGTATCTTAAATTTTGTGGACTCCTTTGACATCTTGAATCTGGTAAGATGATATAAGAGTATGATAACATTCTATATGTTCAAAATATGATGTCATATTAATGTATATATGATCAGACGAAAACCAACGTCCTTTTTGAGCATAGTAACAAAAAAAGCAAAAAGTCAAACATTCTCATTCTCACTGATAGAACTAATTAGTTTGAAATAGTGTACTAATTGAACTTAGTTCAGCTCTACGTTCACACAAAATGTAAAATATTTGCTTATAGGACACACAAAAAAAAAAACTTTCAGTGAGCATTGATCTTCTTTTTCTCTGTAATACTTGAATAATATCTAAAAGAAATGCCTCAAAATCATGAAGATATTCCTAAATGTTACTATACACTTGGTCATTTAACATTTCTCAAAATTAATTATGATGTAAGTCTTAATTGGTTTCAAAAATTATTAAATATCTTAAAATCTGATAATCCAATTTTAGCTGATACGTATTATTCCATCGGTTGTATTTATCAGAATATGTATTATTATAATGAAGCATTACAATATTATCATCAAGCATTAGTTATTTGGAAAGAAACTCATGATAATAATGAACCTCTTCAAATGGCAGCATGTTTAAATAATATGGGTTGTATTTATGAAATAGAAAAATTCTATTCAAAAGCATTAGCATGTCATCAACAAGCTTTATCTATACGTGATAAATTTCAAACTGATTTAGGTTCATCATATAATAATATTGGTAATATTTATTTATGCCTCGGTGAATATAATACTGCAATAGAAAATTATGATTATGCATATAACATTAAAAGTCAATCTCATTCATCACAAGATCCATCTTTAGCAACAACATTAAAAAATATGGCTCTTGCATATGAAGAAGATGGAAATTTTATTGAAGCTTTACAATATTATAAAAAAGCAGCACTTGCATTTGCAAGCATATTTTCAACAACACACACCTATTATCTTGAAATTCAAGAAGATATTCAACGTATTGCATCATTAATGGAATCTAAAACAATAAAATAATGATTGAACAATTTTATTTTAAAAATACTAGATCATGTTATTGCAAGTTTTCTTTTATTAACAAATTGCTCTACAAATTCAATTAATATATGTGAACAAAAACATTGCTATCTCAAGTTATTATTAGGCTTTTCATTTTTTTAGAATTTTTCAGCTTTGTTGATCTGTAATAAATAAAATAACGATAAGAATCATGTTGAATTATACATTTCAAAAAATATTAAAAAAGAAATCAAAATAATCATAACTGTTCGTACACATACGCCAACAAGCACATGTATCAAAGACAGCGAATGGTCTCTCTAAAGCTGCACCTGAAAATTACGCTTCTGCGAATGGGATCTGTGTCCTTTCTACTTTGCTATGTTTCTCTGGTTAAGTTTGTTATTTAGAGTAAATAAAACGAATTTTCACTTCAATCAAATCCAGTTGAGCTTGGATAAAATATAATTTTGTTTCTTCCTGTTCGTAGTATGATGCTTGCAAGTTCATTCATAGTTTTCTAATTGAATGTAGCATGAAATACATGTGATAGACTTACTAGGCACTTTTGCGCAGAGATTGTTCATGCTTTTTGGATACCTTTAATCATTGGCACAGATTCAACAACGATCGTTTGCTTCACACAGAATCAATGCTCTAAATTTTATGAAGAAAAGAGTTTATGTTGGTAAAAAGTATACTTGAGCGGTAAATTTCATTTATACAGAACACAACCAACCAGCATATGACGCATGCCAGAGTATTGCTTTTCTTCGGTTATTTTTTTTCGAAATTTGAAGAAAAAAACAAAAGACTTGAAACTCAGGTGAAATGATTCTGAATTGATATAAGTTGCCATCGGTACACGACAGAATCTGACGTTGTTCACAATAGTTGGATTCAACTATAAAATAATTAACAGCCAAGTTTCCATTCCTTTTGTCTATTCTATTCAGATATATATATGATCACATTCAACGCATTCTCATCCTCACTTGAGCTGGGTAGAAAACTTGTCACTTATCAACCACTACCAACATTCTCTTCTATAGGTTCAAACTCCAACAATATTGTATCCGGATGCGTTGGCATCGCTTGCGGAGCATTGCTTTTCATAATCCTTCTTGCTTTGCTGACTGCCATGATAGCAGTTGGTGGCTCACACGTGAACAACTGTCCAATTTAAAAACACATTCCAATCTTTCTAATTGGCAGCGGTATCATCTCAATTCTAAATATTGCACTTAATATTGAAACCTTCTTAGAGAGCGTGCAGAATTTTCGTAGCCCTGCTTTTTGGCAATTACGAACTAACTTGTGGTTATGCATGGCCATTGGTCTACCGCCCACCCCGCATCGCATTTTTTCCATATTGAAGCAAATTGCCATATAGTATGTTTGTCTATAAAAATGCTTTTAGATTCAACGATATAATAGGATCGACTATTTTTAGTGCTAAGAATCGTATGATCAGGTTCTACTTTTTTTGAGAAGTATCCTCTGCACTGATTCGTCTGATCGACACAGCATGTGACGCAGCTAATGGATGAGGTTGTCCTTACAGTAAATAGATACCAACGGCCAACGATCGATCTAAGTTATCGCTTTTATTAAAAAAGATTGTAAGGAAATGTTTAGATGTGCAGGTAGATAAGTGAAAATCCTGACGATGCGGCGTGGAAACGTAAATGGCAGCTAGCGTAGGGTTAGAGGCCATGAGAAATATTGCTCAGTGTATGTATATTTGACTTGCGTGAGCGAACAATATTTAGAGTCTACGCAGTGGCTTTCAGAATTTATTCATCATGTTTTACGTTTCGATCTAAGATAGATTGTCCCGAAAGCGTCTTTGGAAATTTCAATATTCGCTTCACCAACATAGAAGTTTTCATCATACGAGAGAAATGACAATAAGCGTATGAACAGTTAAGTAGTCAAGTGCAACTATCACCCTTCTTTCATCCACCGTTCGATGGTTACTTAGTTTGCGAACTACTGGTTATTGGCTGTAAAACAGAGCACGGTTGTGAGTAACGCAATCTCGAGTTGCCTAAAGATCGTATTACAGCTATTCCATTTTGCATGGATCATTGTTGGTGGTATGTGGATATTCGGAGCTAATGGATCTGTACAGTACAAAAACAAGGCAGTGGCAACTTACTGTGATAAAAGCACATATCAATTCGTTTTTATGATACTAATTATTCAATCGATTTCCGTTGGCATATTATGCTTTTGTTCGATTATGACGAAAATGTTGCGTGGTAGTTAAAGAAAACTTTGATATTCTACTATGACTTTCTATTAATCAAAGCATCAATCATGACTCTATCCTTGTTCTAATGAAATTTCATTTTTACACACGATTGTATCTACGTTTCATAGGATTTGTATGATGTCCACATGTTCAAACAAAAAGCTACCCGTCTTACAAATAAAACCCGACGGGATATGAAATGAAGAATTACTTTTGATCACTCTGCTTCACTACAGATTCTAACTGCTAGTAGTTTTGCATACGCATATGAACATGACAATTCTCTTTTAGTAAGAAAGATATTGATTGCAAATATTTCGTTTGTGAAAGCTTATAACTATAGATAATAATGAACATCTAAATAGAACGTTCTTTATTATCGAAATTCAAACTAAACAAAAAATAGTAAAATGTTATATAGCTGCTGATTAACTTATTATTATGAGTTTTTGACTCTTGCTAAAAGATTTAAATAAAGACAGCGTTGTTTCCAAATTGATTATGTGAGGCTTGATTGTGTTACTTGTACTTATATCTATTCTTCATCAAAATAATCTATTTCAGGCTCCTGCCATGAAAAATCGGTCTTCTGCTGCGTATAGTAAAATCATATGAAGCCTGCAACATACACTAGAACTGTAGTGGTGAGGGTATTGTGAAATTCTAAACCCTATGTCATGACACTTCCTGCAGATATTCAGTAAGCAGGACTCCAAAATAGTTCATTTGACCCCCCCCACCCAAAAAAAAACTCTTTTTCCCTTTTTTTGGAATACTTATGTTTTATGCGGAGACAAAAGATGAGAAACTCAATACCTCGAAAAGGTCTGAAAATTGGTGGTCTATTTATGACAGTGCTTTTTCATATGATAACAAAAAAAAAACTTAATTCAGAAGATGGATTCTCTCAGGCGATGGAGTTTCATATGTTCTTTCAAGCAACAAAAAAATAGTAATTGGCTATAATGAAATTCCCTCGAAAATTTTGGAATACACGATCAGAGAAGCACTTAATAAAACAGAAGATGATGGACATGTTGAATAATTTTAGCCAAAAAACGACATGCAAAAAAAAACTGATATCGTTTATGGAAGACCAGAGCTCAGAGTATCTTCCCATGTATTTATCTTAATGATGATTTTTCTCACAAAAATAGACTTTTTTAAAGGAACGCGGTAAAACGTCATATACTGTACTTTCTGGCTATTTTTGAGTATGCAATGTTAGAGCAAAAACAACTAAGCTCATTTTAAAAAAGTTAGCAAAATTAACTTGGTAAGAAGAAACACATACGAAGATCGTTCATTAGTGCTTTCATACGTCGAACATCTGACGTTTTAGAAGCAGAAAAAATTTTTTTTTCTCATTTTCTCAGTTGAAGAATAGTGATGAAAACAAAACTTCAATTCTCTTTGAGAAATGCACATGTTTGATGACTTGCTGCAAAATCATTTAATTTAAAAAAATGGTAAACACGCCGTTTCTACGCTATTTTACTTTTTACTTATTACTTTCTTACCAAATCATTTTTTGTTTACAACAAACTTATCAATCAAATATAGAACTTAGTGATAAAGGTGTGACATTTATTCCCAAAGCTTCACTTGAATTTCCATTAAAAACTCTTACTGTTAAATCGTTAATGTCGTGTGCACAACAGTGTAATCTAAATGTTCTATGCCGAGTATTTGTTTACGATGAAATAACATTGAATTGTCAATTATATCAAAGTGATTTATCATCTGGTAATATTACAACCGTGCCAACATCAACATCACGAGTAGGTTGTATAAGATACCAACCTCAGCTTTATTTAAATTATAATCAAACATGTAATCAATGTCAAGTCAATCGTTATTTAACTTGTCAAAATGCAAGATGTCAATGTCCTCCACCAACAACTTTTTGGAATGGACTGATGTGTCAAAATCAATTGTCGTACGGTGAAACATGTAATTCATCATCTTGGTGTCGACAAGATTGGAATTTAACATGTGTATTCGGATCGTGTCAACCCAATACAGCAAGTAAAAGAAAAAGGCATTCGAGAGAAATATAAATATTGTCCTAATAAAGAAGTCAAGCAAAAATTAGACTTCGTTGATTTACATCTTAATCAATAGAACTTACGACACCGATTACAGATATGAAGTTTTAAATTTTTTAGACTGCGTTTTCGTTAAGAATACCACAGATCTTCATTTTGAATTCAAAAAGAAATTATTTCAGCGAAAAAATAGTCAGTATAAGTTAGAGCAATATTTGATTTTCAACGAGGAAATGGCTAATTTTTGTTTTCATTGAGACGATTTGTTTATTCTTACATTTATTGCATAAAATACCATTTGAGTATTTAAAAAAACTATATCTGTAATCAGCGTCGTCAGTTCTATTCGCTCATGTATAATTCAACAAAATCTAATTTTTGTTTAACTTTTGCATCAGTGACACCTTACATACACATAGTCCGACTAATTGAATAGAATCCTATAAGAATATTGCAAACAAAGCAGTAGACTGTCAGTGTGATAAAACATCTCTATTTTGAAGATTTTCACCGAGAAAAAATCTCAAGTCTATGCAAGAAATAAAAATTAGCAACATTTCACATGCTTCCTATTGCTACCAGGCCGTGTGTTAATAAAATAAAATAAGCAATGAAACTATCTTACAACTTCGTAATTCTTATCAAATGAGATATGTATATTATTGATGGTAAATAAATTATATGAGACTGAAACTTAAGTAATTATTCATGAC